TCATATATTCAAAGTAGTAAGGGATAGAGATTTCATTTTCATTCCTTTGACCCTTCTCCTTCTTCCATCAAATCTCTCTTCTTCTCACAATTAACTTGTTCTGCTTCATGCCATGGGTCTGTTTCTTATCTTCACTGGTGCACTTCTACTGCTGGGTGTGTGTGGTTCCCAAAAATTCTCCCTTGTTCATCATCCTTTGCTGGCTTCTTGTTTTGCATTGACAGTCGTGTGTGTAAGTGCATGTCGCTTCTATTTTCTTCCTCCTTCGCTATTAGACGTTCATGTGTGTGTTTAGTAAGCTTAAATCCTTACTCTTTTTGGTCTATAATTTCAGCTTCGTCTCCTCCTTTTAAGGCAACTAAGTCAAAGCTTTTCTCTTCTTTATGTTGTCCGTAAATTATGGTGTTGTAGCTATTACTATGCTTTGGTTAAGGTAAGGCATTGATTCTTCCTTTTTCTATGAGTGTAACTTAAAAAGCAATGTAAATTATGCTTCTTTTTCCCTGAAACAAACACATCCCTGTTTCTCTAAGTTATTATCATGATTTTGTTGAATTTTAGTGGTAAATTCAGTTGATGCTATGTATGATTTTTTTAACTGGTGATAAGTTGAATGTTAATGAAGAAATTATATGTTGGAAAGTATTGAATTTGCTTGGATATTTGCCTCATGATTTATTAATGGTGAATGTTCTTATAGTGTTTGTAAATATGTTTGAAAGATTTGTTGGTGAAAATTAGATTGTCAAATTTTTAGTAGAGCCTAGAGGAATTGTAAATACTCGTATGATGTGTTATTAAATCTAAAAGAAGCATGAGAATGGTTCATATGAGTTATAATAACTTATAGTTGAGAATATGTTACAAGGAAATATAGAAATGGTGATAATATTAGGAAAGAGTTTATTTAAGGCTATAGGATTGAAATTTTATTATCTTTGATAAGGTCATTAGAAGAAGAGAAAACTTAATTGAAGCTATAAAAAGAAAATTTTGGAATTGGGAGATAAATTAGGTAAGTAAATAATGTTCCCCAATGAAAAGAAATGATGGTATTTCTCTTATTTTATTTATTTATGTATTTATTTATTTGAATTGTTATAAATAGATCTTCTTATTTTATCTTATGATTAAGCTGAGTTAAAGTATGTAATTAGCCTATTCATTATTTGAGTTTAATTATGTATGTATTCCCATGGTATTTTATTTTCTTAAAAATATTGTTCATGCATGGATTGGATAAATTATAGATGAAAAGGTTATTTATACTTCATAAATTAAAGGAAATTTTTGAACTATAAGGATTTTTGGATTCTATGCATGCTAGAAATGTTTTATAGGACTAAAGACAAAATGTTAATTACTAACAATAATTTTGTTAGCCCTTGGCACACAATGATACACCTAGCTAACATGGTACGTTGGAGGTGCTAACCCCATGTGTCGACTAACACGTGAAATGGAGGACGTAATTTCATAGATATAATCCACGCCTATTATTTGTGAGCTTTATACTTACGCCTATTTTTCACAGTTTCTAGCCATGCGGATGTTACTTACCCTCGTGGATTGTATGTTTACGCCTGTTATTCGTTTCATTTTAAGTCCTAACAAAAAATAAGTTTTTTTTCAAGTTATATTTTCGCTTTTAAGAACTGTATTTTTATGATTATCTATTTTCTCTTTTCTATTTTGTTACCTAATTATTAATGATAAATTGTACTATCAGTTTATAATGCTATCGATAATTATATTAGTCACTTGTTTCCTATGTTTATGATTATTATTGTTATTTATTTAATTATCATTTGGAGATGTTATTTATTAGAAGAATTTTTTTTTAGTATTCAAATAGTAGAAGTGAATCTACTCTTTAGTAGATCTCATGGAACTCCTTGAGACAAGAAGGAATTTGTTGTTCCAATTACATTGTGAATTAATGTAAATATTTAAATATTTTATTTTTGTTATAGAGTCACTCCACGAATCAAAACTAGGATATTCTTTTTTGGTAGATTGTAGAGATTTCAAAAAGTTCAACTTATAGTAGAAACTATGCTAAAATTTCTACAACAAGTTTAAATATTTTGTTCCTATTAATATTTATTTAATATTAATAATGATTGTGTGACAAAATTATAATTAATTATGTTGGATGTGTTGAGGATTTAAACTTATGGAATGAGTTTTTTAATATTTTAGCTGATCACATTGGCAATTTGAAGCGTGACAAGTAGCTTATAAGATAACATTGGTTTTAAGTTCATAATTGATTTTGTCATGTATAAAAGTGTTTTGAATTTAAAAAAAAAATCATGATTTTTGGTTCATAGTTGATTTTAACATGTGATATGGGTATTTGATTTTTTTAAAAAATATATTTTTATGTTTATAATTGATTTTGACATGTAATAAAATATTTGAATATATTTTCACAAAATCATAATTTTACTCTCTCCTTTTTTTCTCTCTCAATTTTGCTTAAATCAATCTTATTGTTCGGCCTAAAAAGTGAATGGGCAGAACTTAGTGTAATTGGGCCACGATAAAGCTCGAGAATGCAAAGCCCACCATCGATGAAGATCCAATTTGACACCCCCTTTAAGTGAAACGATGCGTTCCAAAGACAAACACCTAAACCCACAATCTCCTAAATACTTGGAACATGACTTCTACTAGCACAGAGTACTCCCTACTCTAAAGATGTGGGAACAGTGATTCCCCTTACTTAGCAGGCACAATTTGAATTCAAAACTAGGGCAGTTGGCAGTTGCTTTCTTTGATATAAAAGCAGCCACGATGAAGTCATTGATGCCTCTCGATCTCTAAAATACCAAGACTACTAGACAGTTTAAATTTATTCTTAGTGTTACAAAATCTCACCTATCATGACTTTGTATCTTTGATGTTAGGCTTAGATTTAGGAGTAGAACTAGAGTAGCAGTAGTTTTAAGAAACCCAATTTTCTTCAACCATTTATATTCAAAATTATGATCGTTTGTTTAAAATTAAAAGGAGAAATTAATTTTATGATTCTTATAGTTATGACTTAGTTGTAATTCAATTTTTAAATTTTGACTCGTTATAACTCAATTCTTGAAATTTTGAATTGGTTATAAATCAATCCTTTAACTTTACTTCTTGCAATTTAATCCCTAAAGTTTTAACATATTAAATATTGATCCCTATATTTTAAAAAATAAAGTTATAAAGATTAAAAATATTTTAAAATTTATTACTACTATTTTTATATTATTAAACCCTTTTAATCTTTATATATTATAAATACTAAAAATTTATTATATTTTTAATCTTTATAATTTTATTTTTAAAATATAAGGATCAGTATGTAAGAAGTTGAAACTTCAGGGACTAAATTCTAAGAGACAAAGTTTATGAACTAATTTATAATTAAGTCAACTTTGGAGAGTGAGTTATAAAGAGTCAAAATTGAAGTATTGAATTACAATTAAATCAAAATTATCAAAACTAAATGATTAATTTTCTCAAATTAAAAAATAAGTTATTGTTAGATAGTTTACTGTATGAAAATAGATTTATTTTATAGAAATTTTATAAATCACAACATTATTTTTTGTTTGTTTATGATAATAAATAGTGATTATTAACTAGTTATTTTGGGCCTGTTTATTTTGACTTATTTAATGAAAAAATTACTTATTTTTTTTAAAAAATTATTTTTTAATTTTCATATTATTTATTTAAAATTTTAAGAATAATTATAAGGCTCGTTTGTTTTAACTTGTTTCATGAAAAAATTACTTTTTAAAAAAATATATATATTTTGTATGTTTTTAGTACGTTTGTTTAAACTTTAAAAAATAATCAAAATTTAAAAAAAATATATTTTTAAATTATTTTAAAAATTTATTTTAAATAGTTTTTAAAAATAATTTAATACAATAGATGAGAGAGAGTGCTTATAAAATTTTAAAATAATATAATAGTAAATTATTTTTGCTAAAAAAATTAAGGAAGATATCTTAAAATTAAAAATAATTAATTAGTAATCACTTTTATATTATTATAACTAAACATAAAATAATGTCGGCTTTTTATAAAATTTGTATAAAGTAAATTTCTTTGTTTATAAAATCCTTAAACTAATTAAAAATTAATTATTGTTTTGATTTTAAACAAATGGGCTCATGATTAAAAAATATATTTTTGATTATTTTAAAAAACTACTTTCAATAGCATTTGAAAATAATTTAATGCGATAAATGAGGGAGTGTGCTTTAAAGACGTAGGACATGAAAATATATCATAAAATTTTAAAATAATATAATAATAAATTATTTTTATAAAATAAAAATCAAAAAATATATTATAAAATTTAAAAATAACTCATTAATAATCACTTTTTTATTATTGTAATCAAACATAAAATAATGTTATCTTTTTATAAAATCTCTATAAAATAAATATCTTTTTATAAATCTTTAAACTATCTAAAAATTACTTATTTTTTAATTTTAAATAAATGAGCCATTTATGATATCTTTATATATCTCACCTTTTTAAAATAATCTTTCTTCTACGTTATATTATTTTCATAAGTTATTCAAAGTAATTTCTCAAAATAACAAAAAATTTTCTTTTTTAAGAATTTTAATTATTTTCAAAATTTTAAGCAAACATTATAAAACGTAATAAATAATTATTAAAAAAATATGTAATTTTTTATAAAATAAGTTAAAATAAATGAGCCTTTAATCATATTAATTAATTTTTCTTGCGATATCAAAACGGACCGGAAGTTGTTTCTTTTTTTTTTTTTATAATTTGTCTCGAATTGTAATAATTCTACATCATTGTTAAAAAAATAAAGTTATTGGGCCAAGTCGAGTGTGGTCCAAGAGATTAAGGCAACAATAACCCCCCCCCCAAAAAAACACAAACGAAAACACAAGTGTGTTTGAAGAAATACCAACTTCATACGCTTCTTATTACCCAAAAAAAAAAAAAACTTCATGCACTTCTTAGGTTTCCGGTTCGCTTCTCTTGGATGCTTCTCAGCTCTCTTCGTCTCGGGTAGGTGCTCAACTTTCTGGTCCTCGTTCGTACCTACGGTTTAAAAGACCAGCACTGCAGGTAGCTGTTGATCGTCAATCTTCACTCTGATGTCGTCCAAGTTTGGGTTAGCCGGTGGGATTCCTGAGCGACGGGTACGGCCCATTTGGGACGCCATTGATTCGCGCCAGTTCAAGAACGCTTTTAAGCATGTTACTACACTTCAATCTAAGCATCCTAATTCACCTTATGCGCTTGTAAGATGGAACTCACTTCCTAAGATTCTATCTTTCTCTATTTTGCTAACTTGTTTTTGGTGTTGTTCTGGGACTCTTGTGACTGCAAATATATATATATATATATATATGCAATTAGTGTTATCTATATAATGTGGGTTGGGTTATGTGACGTTAAGTTGCTCCTCTTTTAGTTAGGTAGCTGAACTGAGGGTTTTTGATTTCCCACCACGCACTAACCTTGCACTCTTCTTTTCGGGTACTATGGTGGACTTAGAGGATGTCGGCACCATGTTTATGAAAAAAATTTCTATTGCTTTTTTTTTTTTTTGATAAAAGACCAATTAATGAAAACGACAAGTTATATAATACATAAGTTTAACAAGGGTTAAGAGGAGGGGGAATTAAGAAAGAACTATCCTGACTAGTACTAAAGGTTACAGTCTTACAGAAGAGAACTGACGTGCTATTCTATGAACATCCTCTACTAGAGCCTGCTAAGAGTGATGTTTAGAATGAAGGCAATGGAAGAGTTTCTTCTTGAAACAAAGACCAATAGATATAATTTTTCTATTGCTTCTGGGAAATGCAAGGTGTGTCATTTTGAAAAACGAGGACCTTTTATTTTGTATTTTTGGATGGGTGTTTAGGAGATAAATTTTCTCGGTTCAAAATTGCCCTTTTTGCCATGGACATTTGGTGTTATAACTCATTAACCGAAATCATTGTCGTCATATGCTGTCATCTATCATGCAGGCACTCAAAGCTCTCGTTCTGGAAAGAATGGGTAAACCGGACGAAGCATTCTCTGTTTGCTTGAATGCCAAAGAGCTTTTGTATAAAAATGATTCTCTTTTGATGGATGATCTTACTCTTAGTACGCTTCAGATTGTATTTCAGCGATTAGATCACTGTCAGTATTTGTTTTCTTTTTGTTGCGATCTTCTTGTATATATATCATTGTTATGTGTCTAAAATTTCTCTATTTAATCAGTGGATTTGGCTACCAGCTGCTATGAACACGCCTGTGGTAAATTCCCAAATAATCTGGAGCTAATGATGGGACTGTTTAACTGCTATGTTCGTGAGTACTCATTTGTGAAGCAACAACAGGTTTGCATGATTTTTTTCCTTCTTCTTGTTAGGTCCTCTATTTTTTTTTTCAACAATTTGTGCTACATTTTTTTGTGGACAATACTTTTCCCTTACTTATTTTCTGATTGGCAGACAGCTATCAAGATGTATAAACTAGTTGGAGAAGAAAGGTTTCTGCTTTGGGCAGTTTGCAGCATCCAATTACAGGTTCTTCTCACTACCTTATACTGCCTTTCTTGGCCTCGTTATCTGCAAGTTAACTTGTGCGTCTTGAGCAAGGTTTGTTTCAGCAGGGAGTTCAGCTTGGGTGGATGTGGATGTCAAGGTTATATTTATAATATGGAATAGTAGTAGAAAACTATAAACTAAGAACATCATGATCTGCAAGTGATATTGATCACTTTAGTTTGTTTGGCAAGTGATATTAATTATACTCTAGCAAATAAAGGGTGATGGATTCTGGACTTGTGACATCTGGGCTTTTTCTGAATCAGATTTTCTCCAATTGTTCAGTAACATTGACATTAATAAATGATAGAGCACAATGGCGTCTTGCAATCCATGTAGCCGACCCCACCTAGTGGGATAAAGGCTTGTTGTTGTTGTTGTTGTTGTTTGTTCAGTAACATTGACATTCTTTCTGATTTTTTTTTTTTTAAGTTTGTTACATTCATGTGATTAAATATGTTCCATTTCTTTTTTTTTTTTTTGGGGGGCGCAACTGGACCGCTTAAAGGTATTCTGTGGCAATGGAGGAGAGAAACTGTTACTTTTAGCTGAAGGTTTACTCAAGAAACATGTTGCTTCACATGGCTTGCATGAGCCTGATGGTAATTTACTTTTTTCTGTCTTGTTTATTATGAACAGCCTTGAAGGTTCTGTTAACAAATTATATATGGATTAAATTTTCTGAATTTGTTGCAGCTCTTATTGTCTACCTTTCGATTTTGGAACAGCAAGCCAAGTTTGGGGATGCTTTAGAAATTCTCTCTGGAAATTTAGGATCACTGTTGATGATTGAAGTTGAAAAGCTACGAATACAGGTATTTTCAGGATCTCCCTGTTTTGTAGTCTCTGTTTACCTTTTATATTTTATATTTCCCTTTTTACTGTAAAGTTATCATCCATTTCAATGGGAAACTTGATATCTGTGAGTTGACTTGTGCTTGATGTGGTAGAGATTGAAATTAAAGGAATTTATGTAGATTCCAGGGTTGATGTGAATGTGATATCTCGTATGGTATTAAAAAGTAATAGGTGGAATTGCATGTTTGAAGCAAACTCTTTTCAAAGCAAGTTGAATTTTGTATTGAATTGTTCAGTGTTTGGAGTTTTGATCTATGATTTGATATCGAAACAACTTGGACTATATTTTTCATTCCTCTTGTTTGACTTTTCTCATTAACCTGTATCCTCTGACTTTAAGTTGACAGGGTAGACTTCTTGCTCGGGCAGGTGACTACACTGCTGCTGCTGCTATTTTTAAGAAAATTCTGGAGACTTGGTATGCATTTGGGCACTGACTTTATATTTAACTTTTGAAAATCTAGAATATGCAACTTTTGGCAGTTCTGTGGATGCAAGTGATCTTGCTAGTAGTGGCAATACAGTAGCAAGCGTAATGTGAAAAGCCTGCTTAAAATTGAGGATACAAATTTGTTGTTTTAGGCTTTTGTTGTTTGATCTCCTCCTTCATTTTTTAAATTCTATTATTCGTCCTGATTGTTGTGGTAATTTGTACATTTATATAGGTTTTATACTATTGGTTTTGGATTTTAATTGTTTAAGCTCCATTTTTGAATCTTGTGAACCAAAAAAATTAACGTAAGCAAAATATTGTGTACTTGTCATTGAGTCAGACGGATATTTATTTCATCATCTAGTGATGCTAGTGTCCATTTGTCCTTATTCATGTCTTGTTTCTTCTTCCATCACGTCAATTCTAGACTTCCAATATGTAATTTACTAAGATAGTTATCAAGTGAATTTTTGGATTACTATTTCTAGGGACCTGACCCTAGCCAATGCATGACACCTTTTCAATTTTTGATTATACTAATGCCCTTTTGCTTTCTTTTTGTTACTGTTATTGTCTACTCTTGGCAGCCCAGATGACTGGATGTCTTTCCTTCACTATCTAGGCTGTTTGCTGGAAGATGACAGCATATGGTGTGATGAGGCTGTTAAGGATCCAGTTCATCCGTCAAAATTTATTAGTTGCAAGCTCTCACACTTGACAGATGAACAGGTGAATGTTTATCCGTTAATTAATGGTCTTTGTCAGTGAGTTAAACATAAAGTAGAGTTTTACTAATTTTGTGGAATTTGACGCATGTACAATGCAAGTGCAGTTTGATAGTCAGGTATCCAATGCATTGGCTTTCATACAAAATTTACAAGCAGATACCATTAACAACTCTGTAAGGGGTCCATACTTAGCAAATATAGAAGTTGAAAGAAGGAAGCATTTGCATGGGAAGGGGAATGATGACAGCTTAATGGATGCCATTGTGCAATATTTTTGCAGGTATGTGATAACATCAAACCTATTATCCCTGAAAATTCTAATTTTCTTTTCTTTATGAATCTCTTGCATGTAGTAGAGTGTCTTCTAAGGAGCATGAAAGAAAAGTTTGTAATAGCTGATGCCATTCGGCTTGAAAGGGGATTCAAATCTGGATAAGGTTCACTAATATAGTTCTTGCAGGACTGCTGCCTGCAGATCCTTGTTCAATTTGCACAAAGTAATTTATGTCAGAATTTTCTTTGGCTATAACATTGACGCTTATTTAGTTCCATTAGTTCTTGATGGCTTAGTTTTGTTTATGTAATAAATATGATAAGTCTGCTCCTAGTTCTTGATGTTGTTTGTATAGATTTGAGCTTTGCAATTTCTAGGAGGCTTAGTGACCATATGTGTGCAACCCTTGTCTGGCTAGGTGCAAAGCAATTTTCTCAGAATTTGGTTCCCTCCTCTCTTATATAGTGCTTGCAAAAGTGCAGCATTAAAATTAAAGACTTGGTTTTATGGCCATAGGTTTGGTCACTTGCCCTGCTTTACTAGTGACGTTGAGATGTTTATCGAAGTATTCAATCCTGGTAAGAAGATGGAACTTTTGGAGAAGTTGAAGAAAAATTCTGATGCTTTAACAACCTTGCCAGCAAAGAATCTTGGGCAATCTATTTCCCTTTTCAAGATCCAACAATTATTGATGGGTGATATGTTCAAGTTCTCAGCAAATGGTAGGTCTCCTGTAGCTGTGCACGCGTATGCATTGTTTCATTATTAAATTCAATATTTTCCTAGAAAATAAGAAAGTATTTAAACCTTTAAGCTAGTTCAGAGTTTAGGCTGAGTTGAATATGAGCTTTCATTTTTGAGCATTGACTGGCCATTTATACAAGCTTATTTGAATTTGTTCTAGAGCTTGACGTGTGCTGTGTACAAATGGCTGAAGTATATTGCAAAAGCGTTGCTTTTTCTAAGGACTTGGACCCACAGGAAAGCATGCAGGGTGAAGAGCTGCTTCCATTAATATGTAATTTGTTGGTTCAGGTATCTGGTATTACAATTTCTGAATTTCTGTGGCATTGGCAAAATAAGGTTAAAGGGATTGCATGATTCCTGCTATAATTTCTCCATTCCCGTTGCACATGTCGTAGAATCTTCAGGCTTTTGGCATGTATTATATTCGATAATCTATACTTGTTTTGGAGGCTGGGGGAGGTACAGAAAAGGACATTAAGCTCAAAGAATATAAAACGAATGTGTAACATAGTGGTTGAAATAAATAGTTCATACATTGCATGACAGGTATTGTGCAGGATTTTCTGCATTTTCTGTGAATTATTTGCTTGAAAGAGAAAATGCAGAATACATGTTAATTTTGGGAGTACTAACAAGAAATTTATTGACTTGGTTGGCTGGGGTTAAGATCATTGATGCATAACCTTCCACTTAGGTATCAAAGTGTTTTTGGGTTTTTTAATTTATATAGTACATATATATATATATAAGGAGCAATTCTTAGAAGATACTTGCTAGTAAGTCTTGTAATTTCATTCTTTTACATGAAGACATGCTTTGGAAGGAAAAGATTAAGAATTATCTCCATAAAACAATGTTCTCCTCTCTCAGATTAAGCTTGATTTTAGAGTTTATCATACTGTTCAACACAGTTCTCGAGAGAAATGTGCTGATTAAAAGCTTCTTGTTTTCAAAATTCATTATCTGAATAACTATTTTAAGTTGGAAGGTTTGTTGACTCCCTAGAAAGTTTAGCAAATCGATACCTTGTAGATTTAACACAAAAGTGATTGTTTTGGGGAATCAACTACATTTCTCATGTAGCTGGTATTATAAGAAAACTAGAATATTTATTGTTTCCCTGAATTTTTGTGTTCCATTGATGATGCTTAGGCTACATGTATGTGACATTTCTTAATAATGTTTTGGTTGACAAATAAATTGTTGATAATGTTGTCTTTTACAAATAAATTATGAGTAATCTTCCACATAAATTGATGCTTTGGCCACTGTTAACATATTTGAATATTTTGGTGCAGTTATTCTGGCGGACTAAAAACATTGGTTATTTAGTAGAGGCAATTATGATTTTGGAGCTTGGCTTGGCGATACGAAGGTCAGCAATTCTCTTGCATTATATTTAGGAACCTAACCCAATTACATTTGGTCAAGGAAAAATGTTCTATCTTGCTATCATTCATCACATCTGGTCCATCGTTTTGTTTTTTAGGGAGTCATTCAGATCTTGCCGATCTATGCACTTTTGTGTGTCTAAAATTATAAACATGTGATTTTAAGCAATTATCTTTGATAATCTGTCCACTGCAAATGTGTATTTGGTCACAAGATTATAGTATAGAAAATGAGAAGCTTGTAAAGAACTACGCTTTATTCAAATTTAATATCTTGTTGAAAACTGTTAGGACTTGTTTCAAATTAGTATCTGGCACAGAATTTCTAATTAGATAATTCTGATTGAATCGGATTCTAGTATTATTCTTGTTCAAATACCAGATTTGATTTTTTCCTCTATGAAAGTTAGTTGTAGGAATTGGAGGCCCTTAGTTTGTGCTTGAACTTATGGATGTTGCAATCCCTTGTTTCAAGTGGGTTGTTGAATGCCACGGTCATGGTCTTGTTAATGTCTCAGAGAAGTACAGAGCATATAAATCTTATATTGTTTTTACTGGTTATCACCATTGTTGTGTTTGTGGCTTACTGTAACATAATGTAATTATATGGTTCTGAGTTGATGCCAAAAATTGTATCTATACTCAACATGGTGTATATCTTTATCAAGGATGGATCAGTATTTCTTAGTTTGGATGCTTTCAATTTGGCATTTATGGCACACTGCTCTATTTTTTCTTATGACCTATGAGTTGTGAAACTTCAGACCACCAGATCTTGACCTAAGTTTTGATATTGCCTTGCGGCTGCGGCTTTTCCTTTTCTGAAATAACTTGTCTTCTTTTATAGACATGTTGGGCAGTATAAGATCTTGCTGCTGCACCTGTATTCTTATTTTGGTGCTCTTTCAGTGGCATATGAATGGTGAGGCAGTTCAATTGCTTCAATTATACATTGTCTGCACTTCGCATCATCAATGCTTATTCTAGTTTTTGTTTTGTTCAGGTATAAATCATTGGATGTAAAGAATATTTTGATGGAAACCCTTTCACACCATATATATCCTCAGATGCTGGTATCTCCACTGTGGACAGAATTAGACAGTCTGCTGAAGGATTACCTCAAATTTATGGATGACTACTTAAGGGAATCTGCTGATCTAACTTTTCACGCATATCGCCACAGAAATTACTCAAAAGTATGATTAGTATTAAAATGTTTTCTTTTTCGAGTGCATTGCTTATGGCACTATTGCATTTTGAATTTGTTGGTATTCATATATTTTGAATTTGGAGTCAACTTGCTTTAAAGATTTGTTCATACTTTCTGTTTTTCTCGCATTCTTTTTTATGAAAGATTATATCAAGAGGGAAGGAAGCTTGCATTCCTGGCCCCTCTGAAAGAAAATTTATTATAAAAGATGATAAGAAAAATTCTTAATCTGCAGCATCCTAATCCCTATGCACACCTAAAAGAGGAACTCCTTTAAAAGATTGTGTTGTTCTAAACAAGGCTTATTTACCAACCACTTTCATGTTTGAGGTGCTTTCTGCCTTTTGGTTCTGCCACTGCCTAAGGAAAAAATTAATTTGCATTGGTTAAAAAAATTATATGCTTAACTTAAATCATCGGTAACTTGGAGGATTTTGAGACTTAATAATATTGTAAACGATAAAAAAGTTCTCTACAAGATTGTTGTAGGTTTAAAGTCTTGTCACTCTTGTGCATTTTTTTTGACAACTCAAAGTTGGGAGTGGTTCTTTCTGAAAAAATATTAGCATATATTTAGAGATTGTTCTATATTTGTTTTCATTTTTGATTATATGTCAGAGAATGTTCATCTGAGTTTTTTCATAAATTGATTCAATTTTGCCCCTTTCTCATAATCTACATTAACAATTTGATTATTTAGTCATTTGATATATATATATATATATTTGTGTGTGTAATTTAACAAGTTGCAGTATTTATAATTCATGAATAACGTTGTTCCTCAGACTTTGTGTGGGTCCTGCATCTAATTATTTATCTATGTGATTCTATTCACTCTAATTTAAAGTCCAAGTCATCATATTGTTGAATTTGACTTCAAATTGTGGACGGATTATGAAGGAAATGATAAAATTGGATCCCTAGAAAATAAAAGAGATGTTTCTGTAACTAAAGGGATCAAAATAGAACTTCTATGAAACTTGTGGAACCAAACAAATTGAACGTGCATGATTCCCTGTTCTAGTGAATTCTTAAATTATGATGTGACTATGTGACTGAGCCATAAATGTGCATTCTATTTCAGGTAATTGAGTTTGTGCAGTTTAAAGAACAGTTGCAACGCTCTAGTCAGTATCTAGTGGCTAGGGTTGAAGCACCTATTCTGCAGTTAAAGCAGAATTCAGATAATATTGAAGAAAAGGAGGTAAGTACAGTCTTTCAACTTTGCTGTTGGTGACTACCTCTAATACATGTGATAATAGATATAAGAGATAATTATTTTCTTAGGGTGTTCTTGAAAGCTTAAAATGTGGAATTCACTTCGTTGATCTCTCTAATGAGATCGGATCGAAGTCTCTGACCTTCCTGGAAGACTTGCAATCACGACCTTGGTGGACACCAACCTCAGAGAAAAATTTTCTTCTAGGTTAGTCAGTTTCTCAATTATAGTTTGATTTTAGAAGCAAATGCTTCTATTATGCTTGCAAATGTTTTGCATCAACATGTTGAATGTTGACATTCTACAAATCCTTTGAGCAAGTGTGTCAAATCCAAAATGAAGATCACATTGGCTTTGCTCTTCAAAGTCAGAAAATTGTATGTATTGCTGCCATGCGTGCAGCTAAAGAAACACTCAACCTTATTCAACCTTAGTTTTAGTTTGAACTGTTACATGATGGGGTATGAGCGACTTTTCCATCTCTAATATGGCCCCTCATTCTAAAGTTATTTGGCTTGAAGATGGAGGTCGATTGATGGTGGATATAGCATAAGCTTATTGCTATATTAGCATTCAATGAAAATTTAATTTTTGTCACCGGAATGGAACAGATATGATTTAAACATCAAAACCCTTGGGTTTAAATGTTTGTATGCCTCTTGTGAAAAGCGACTGCAAAATAAACTAAAAAATTAAAAATGAGGAACACACAACATTTTTATAGTGTGCAACAATTCTCTGCATTGTTAAGAGGAGACAGTCATCTTGAATATCCAACATGGACACAGTGATAGTGTATTTGGGCTATGAGATTCACAACCATATCATCCTCATTCCTATATTTCTACACATCCTTGTGACAGATGGGGGTTTATCAGCACTTAAAGTCCTCTACCTGTTTTGCCAATAGAGTCTGTCTCTTCAAACTATGAGTTCTGGATCATGAGATTGAGACTTGCTATGCAAGAAACTAATATCAACCTTGAGACTTGGTTTTATTTCATATCAAAGTACTGTTCATTTTAAGAGCTTAAGCTGTCGCATGGAGATGAATGATATGGTTCTTTGTAGCTTGTAGTTTGTTTGTTTGTTCTTTTGAATTGCAACCTTAATCAATGAGTTTCTTTTAGAAAGCATCTTATTATTTGGACAACATACATGTAGCTTTAGATGCTCTGAAACTCTTAATGCTAATGGATTAGTTGTCTAAAGATGGTATGGCTATTCAAATATGAGTAAATTATGTACCTGGCTTCAGTCCCTGCCCCACCTCTTATCCCAATCCCTTTCCCAGGCTTTGAGCTGCTTTTGTTTTCCAAAAATATGTGAATGTATCTGATATAATTGGATTTGACTTAATTGTGCAGTATAGTTTTTGTGAAGGAATCTTTGACTAATTGTCAATCCTAATTTTGTGATGCAGATTATGTATGGTATTATGTTTCAATGTAATTTTTGCTTGTTGATCATTTTGGTGAACTTAGTTGACTGTTGCCACCTGTTTCAGGACCATTTGAAGGGATCTCTTTTTGTCCTAGAAGAATCTTGGTAGGTGATTTCAGTCTTTGACAAGTTTGTGGCCGATTACAATCAATGGTGTTTGTTCCAATATAATGATTAATTATATGTTTTCTTTTATGTTCCCCTCCATTCCCTGCACGGTTTGGCAACAAAATTAGACGAATGAAAGGGAGACAAGTTGCAAGAGAAACATTGAGAAGAGATCCCTCGTCCCTCGAATGATCTATCTCTCTATTCAAAGTGCATCAGCATCTATGAAGGAGAAGGTTGAGGTCAATGGTTCTGTTCCACCTAAAATGTCCTCAGAATTGAAATTGTTGCTTGAGCGCTATGCTCAATTATTGGGCTTTTCTCTGCCCGAAGCAGTAGATTTGGTCATGGATTTTCCAAGCAGTGAAAGGCGTTCTGAGGTATGATTATTCAACCTTTTATGCTCTTGTTAAAATATTATATAGGAGATGATACTGTGTAGCTTCAAACATACTTACACCAGATATCAATGGTAGTATGTAGCTCCTAACTAGCATGACAAATTTTCTATCTCCTAGACCCTTTGGAAGTGAACAAAACAAAAAAGAAAGAAAGAAAGAAAGACTTCTGTTGGGTTAAACAAAAGGAGGACATTCTAATATATTTGTACTGTTCTCTTATGTTCTAACTTAGCGGGCCAGCCTGCCAAGTAACTTGAAAGTTGTAGTTCCCATATATTTTAGTATTACAAAATTCTATTTATGGTTGCAACTGGAGAATTGATCCTTATTTTTGAAAACCTCTTAACAGGTTTTTGGCTCCAACTTGATAGACTGGTTAAATTTCACGGTATTCTTAAACGCGTGGAGCCTGAGTTCCCATGAATTGGTGCAGCCAGATGAACATGGAAGTAGGCCCCATGCTTGGAGTATCTTAGATTCACTACTGGAGAAGTACATTTTAGAGAAGGTGAGGAGCATGGAGTCTGAAATCTGTTCTTCTTGGAGTGATGTCCAGCTTCTTATACAGATAGTTACAGAACCTTTAGCCTGGCATGGACTTGTAATCCAGTCTTGTCTGAGATCCTGTCTTCCTTCAGGTAAAAAGAAAAAGAAGAGTGGATCAGTAGATCATTCCAGCTCTAGTTTAGTTCATACAATCACCAATTCAGTGCAGCATTTATCTAGTGTAATGGAGGAGATTATGAAATGGATAAGAGAATGGAAAAACACTCCTGAGGATAAGAATGTGGAGGACATTATTTCCTCTTTTAGAAACAATGAGAAGCAAAATGATGGACCTGGACAAATCTTTCACATTTTCGACTCATTTTTTTCCTCCAAAGATGCCACAGAACTTGGTGATCGAATCTCCCAGTCACTTGAGTCCTGGAGTCCTGCTCATGTTGCAAGGAAAATGGTGACTGGGAAGCATAAAGTGCTGATGGAATTTTCTAAGATCTGTGAGTCAAAACTTAAGTCATTAAAATCAATGAAACAGCAGATTGCCCAACTCTGAGGAGACATAATTATTTACTGGTGTTGAGGTTCCTTGCTTTCAGCTTTGATAAATGGCTCTTCAATTACTGGAAAACACACATCGATGCTAGTCTCTGATAGTTAGGAAAGCTGAGCTTCAGGTCTTTTTTTATTTTTTTGGCTATCTCACAATTTTTTGGGGGTTATCTCAGTTTCGTCTAGAAGATAGTGCCTGAAAGTTCTGAGAAACAGTTTCATTCTTGTCTTTCATTTAACAGCTTCTGTTTTGGTTTCATTTTCCTGTAAAATTTTCCGTTGGACAACAGTGTAAACTAGACACTTCCTCCCTGTTTTCTTATTTTGTACCTGTTGAAGTTAATGGTTTTCTTGTACAATTTCATTCTTGTTTTTTTTTTCCCAAAGAATTTTGGCAATGTATTATCGGTTTGATTGAATTAAATGAAACTTCGGCGATGAATTATTGGTTTGATTGGATTAAATGGAGCTTCGGTTTTTTGAAACTTGCCTATATAATGCTTCCATGATCAGTGCATTAGAATTTAATACCATGGCTTACATGGTTGCGCACATATGTGCAGAATATGTATATATATATATATATATATTTGGGCCGGAAGGGATCTTATATTTAAGATGAATGTTTTAACTAAAGTTTTACATTTTTATCTAAAAAATAATAAGAGTTCTACATTTAGAATCAGCAGTCCATTAGTTGGCTTAGTAACTGGAAAAAAAAATGAAAAAAAAATAAAAAACATATAATCCATTGCTTGTATTTTCATTCTTTTTCACAAAAATGGAAAATAAATATAAGGTTGTTTCAAAATATTCAATACCTCCTCAAAATCTAGCACTTTGACATAAATAAGATGATAGAATTCTTAAGTAATATTTAGATTTGTCATTAAAAAAGTATTTTTTAAAAAAAAATGAATTGTAGTGATGATTTATCAGAACCCATATATCCATCACTATAATGTAAAATGCATATAATCAATATAACAACACCCCACCATAAAATTATTTTATTAAATGAATTTTTAATGATAGAATTAATGAATGGTGGGGTTTGGGAAAATGGAAGGAAATGGAGTGATAAGAAATGGAGACATCCCCTGCCTGAGTATGAGGTCCAAATAATTGGATAAAAGTTTTAAGAGTTGAATTAAATATTTCAAGGCACTACAGTCCTAGAGTGATAATATCTTTTCCTGCAAAAATACTAAAATGTCCTTTTAGTGACTTAGATTAAAGAGAAAAAGAGAAATGAGAACAAATAGACAAAAACAAAATTGACCTAGGACTTGCACACAACTTCAATTTGCTTTTACAAATATATCTTCAACCATCTACATTGTTCTTCAATGCATATTTAATCTTCAAGCATCTTCATGAGGGTCTAGTAGTCTTTAACTTTTTTTCATGGTCTTCAATTTTCTTCCACCATTTGCACTTATATTTAATAATTATGTTACCTGTGGAGGTATCATTAGAGGCGAGAAGAATAATTAGATTAAGATATTTTTCAAATACTCTTAGCTGTCATCCTTACACAACAGTTGAGTTCATAGAGATTTTGAAAGGTCTCTTAATTTTTGCTGGAAGGATAAATTCTCTAAAATCAACATCTACTTTAATTTCATGGATGCTCTATCACTCATTGAATGCAACCACTCTAACAACCATTTATTATAAGTGATTATGATGAAAATGAGAGATCTCACTATAAAAGATTGAATAGTTACTTTTGACCATATTTGTAAAAAAGTAAATAGATGCTCTAATTTTATAATTCACTAGGCATCACGTGAAAATTTTAATATTACGATCTTCAATAGCCTACCTCTTAATTGTAGAAAGCTAATGATTTCAGATATGACCTGACCTTTACGTCTTCACATGATTTTTCTGTACCCTTGTATTCAAATACACACATACATTCCATGCCATATTTAGCATCTTCAAATATGAACCACGGATATCATTTGCACTTACTTGCAACTTTTTCCCCTATTCTTCATGTATCTGCAATTTTCTCACACAGATAATCTTCAAGAGGCTTTAGAAGGCTTCAATAGTCTTCAGCTTTCTTCCATAATCTTCAATTTTATTTCACCACTGTAACACCCTCAAATTTACAAACCGATTTTTCGCAAGTTATTAATTCAAGAAATCATTTTTTTTTTTGAACCCTTATCATACCCTTATCATGGTAGAAAAATTTCTACCATGATACATCCAAGACAATATACCACAGGTCTTAAAATATCTCAAAAAGCAATTAGAACCATGAGGGACAGACATGATCCTCATAGCATGTTATTTAAATTAGGTCATGAATCAAAAGGGACAGACATAATCCTCTTGGACATATAAATGCATTTAATAAAAAGGATTAGAGTTTACATGCTCCATAGACAAGATATGTCCTAAGTTGGCACAAGATACATTGTATAATCCAAAATAAGAGGCAACGTAAAAGATGGTGTCTCATACACCATAATTACACCTCTGGTGCTTTCTCGGCCGGATTCGCTCCTGTAAAAATATTAACCACGGGGAATGAGACTTAAAAGTCTCAGTAACCAAAAATTAATATGTAATGATGCATGCGGATGTAACTAATCATGCGATTGCTAAGTGGGCACACAAAACATTTAACCGAACAATATTTTCAAACAAACCGAACAAGTATTTAATTGCATGACTGCACCTTATATCCTCCTTTCACCATGCTCGGACGCCAAATCACCCGGCCAAAGGTGAGTTGGACCAAGCGACACGCCACTCATTGGGTCCAATGAGGGCTTACCACGTGGTAATAATTAACCGAACAGAAATTCCCATTAACACCATACATTAAAATACCCTGACAAGTCATGCATCATTCAAATATCCAAACAGGAATATATCCGAACAATAATATCTCATCATGATAAAACAAAAATAAATTTTTAACCCACTTGGCAATAATTTCAAACAAGTATATACAGTATTTATTTTCAATAATTCATAATTTTTCCAAACAACAAAACAACACATAACCATTCACAAACACACTCATCACAACACATTAATAATGGTTACCTTGTGTCTTGAATAACAAGTTCCCCTTCACAACTCCTTTTTCACCACTATCTTTGTCAATATAATCTACATAATTATTTCACAATACTATATATTAATTTTACATTAAAATAAATAACTCTAATTTAAATAGTTAGAAAGTCTTAGATCTATAATCCATATTAACACTAATTTAAGATTTATGCCTCATTTAACTTCCCAAATTCTTTTCTAAAATTCTCGTACCCTAATAAACTATTTTTTTTATCCTCAAATCACTTCTAGTATCACAATTTCATCCTTCTATATTCTAAAAATTCGTCCAAAAATAAATTAAATTTTAAAATTATCCTGAAGCCTCAAATCACCTTTCTATAACCTCAAAAATACCTATTCATACTTAAATAAATATTTAATAATCATAGATTTATCCCTACATCTCAGATTCCACATAAATTCAACCATATAGATCTAGATTTTAACTCAAAAATTCTTAAACATGAGTTTCAACCTCAAGAAAATATTCTATAATATTTATTATATCCCTAAGAGTTTTAACCTATATTTTTAATCCATCATATCATCAGATTAACTATCCTATAGAAAAATCCTAATCAAAATATTTACTCTATCCTACAAAATAATCATATCACTAGAAAGCTAATATTATTTAGAAAATAACTATAAAATTAATTTTGTAATTAAATAAATTTTTAAATGCTAATCTAAACAGGAAAGTTAGAACATACCTGAAGAAAAAAGAAAATAATCCCCCCTTGCGAGAAAACGCCGAGCAACGTGAGAGGAAGAGAGAAAAATAATATAAAAATGGATTGTGAGTCCCAAAATTATATTAAAAAAAAACTATAGGTTTGAATTTAATTATTCAAACCTTTGGGCCCAAAGTTGCAATTTTCTCTAAATTGCATCTTAGCCTCTCATGCTTCCTAATGCACACACCCCCTCCTTTTTATACATGAAGGCACCTCTTCTCTTCCCTCATCTAACCAATGTGGGACTTAGAAACAACAACCTTCCACCCCCCCTTTTTTTTGTTCCTTCTACCTTCTCTTTTTTTTTTAACACACACATAAAAAAAATTATTTATGTATTATATCTTAACTAAATATTGCTTATGTGGTTTTAAATTTAAATTTTTAAATTCATAATTAAATACCTAATCATAATATTATTTCTAAATAACCTCAAATAATATAAATTCCTATTATTATCATTTTTTTTCTCAAAACCTAAATTCCACAATTTCTTTATTATAAAAATCAGGATGTTACAATTCTCCCCTCCTTTTAGAAATTTTGTCCTCAAAATTTAATAGATAAGCTTAGAAACTATGTACCTAAGCAAATAAATGTGGATAATCTCGCCTCATACTCTCCTCGGTCTCCCAAGTAGCATCACCTAGGGCTCCACCCTTCCAAATCACCTTCACGAGTCGGATGGTCTTATTGCGTAGTTGTTTGTCCTTAAAGTCCTCAATTCGCTCCGGTTCGGATCTAAAGGTCAAATTCTCCCTCAATTCTACTTCTTCAGGTTCAATAACATGGGAGGGATCCGGGTTGTACTTCTTCAACTGTGATACGTGGAACACATTATGGATACCTGCAATCTGTGGAGGTAATGCAACTCTATATGCAGTAGATCCAATTCGCTCCAAGATCTCATACGGGCCCATAAATCTAGGTGTCAATTTCTTTGCCTTAATGGATCTACCAATGCCTGTCACTGGAGAAACCTTCAAAAATACATGATCTCCTACTTCAAACTCTAACGGCCGTCTCCTCTTATCAGCATAGCTCTTCTGTCGGCTCTGAGCGGTTAGCAATTTTTGCTTAATCATTGCAATCTTCTGGGTGGTCTGCTCTACAATTTCTGGACCAATGATACTCCTCTCACTTAATTCTGTCCAACATAAAGGCGATCTACACTTCCTTCCATACAAGGCCTCATAAGGCGCCATCCCAATACTAGAATGATAGCTGTTATTATAAGCAAATTCAGCTAATGGCAAATGATTATCCCAACTACCTGGTAGTTCAATGGCACAAGCTCTCAACATGTCCTCCAAAGTCTGGATCGTCCTCTCTGTTTGTCCATCTGTTTGGGGGTGGTATGCGGTGCTAAAACTCAGTCTGGTACCCATAGCCTTCTGTAGCGCACCCCAAAAGTTTGAAGTGAACCTTGGGTCACGATCTGACACAATTCTAGAGGGTATACCATGAAGTCTAACTATCTCCTTAATGTATATCTCAGCAAATTTCTCTAATGTAGAGGTAAACTTGATCGCCAAAAAGTGAGCTGATTTGGTGAGTCGGTCTACTATCACCCAAATAGCATCCTTACTCGAGGGTGTTCTTGGCAGTCCAGTGATGAAATCCATAGAAATATCATCCCATTTCACTTTGGAATATCTAACGGTTGCAGTGTTCCAGCTGGCTTCTGATGTTCTATCTTTATCTTCTGACACGTTAAACATCTAGAAACAAATTCAGTTACATCTTTCTTCATTCCTGGCCACCACCAACCTCGCTTCAAATCATGGTACATTTTAGTTATACCGGGATGAATTGTATATTTGCTCCTATGAGCTTCTTCTAAAAGGATATTCCTCAATCTTGGATCATTAGGTACACAAACTCTACCTTTATACTTCATCACTGTGTCCTCAGAGATGGTAAAATTTGGGGCCTTACCTACCACTATCTCCTTCCTTATATTCCTTAAGTAGTCATCACTCTGCTGTGAGACTCTGAGATCTTCCCAGAATTTGCTCTCAAAGTCTGCTACCTGGAGTGCGGCCATTTGATGTTCAATCACATCTACTGGAACATCATGAAAACTGTTCCATAAATGATATTCATGAACCATCAAATGTGCAGCATGAATAGTCTTTCTACTTAAGGCATCAGCTACCACGTTAGCCTTACCCGGATGGTAATGTAATTCAAAGTCATAATCCTTTAGAAATTCCATCCATCGTCGCTGCCTCATATTAAGCTCTTTTTGATCAAATAAATACTTCAGGCTCTTATGGTCACTGAAGATTTGAAACTTAGATCCATACAAGTAGTGTCTCCATATCTTCAGAGCAAACACAACTGCAGCTAACTCCAAATCATGAGTAGGGTAATTTTCCTCGTGTAGTCTCAACTGTCTGGAGGAATAGGCAACCACTCGGTCATTTTGCATCAAAACACATCCTAAACCCTTTAAAGAAGCATCAGTGTACAGAGTGTACGGCACCACAGGGTTAGGAATAGTCAATACTGGAGTAGTGGTTAACCTCTTTTTCAATTCTTGGAAAGCAGCTTCACATTTGTCAGTCCAAATAAATGGGGCATCCTTCTTAGTCAGCTTAGTTAAGGGCATCGCAATTTGCGAAAATCCCTTAATAAAGCGACGATAATAACCTGCTAAACCTAAAAAGCTTCGTATCTTGTAACAGATTTTGGCTGTTCCCACTTCATCACTGCATCAATCTTGCTAGGATCCACCGCAACTCCGTCTCTGGACACAACATGGCCCAAAAACTTTACTTCTTGGAGCCAAAATTCACACTTGTTTAATTTGGCATAAAGCTTATGTTCCCTCAAAACTTGCAAGACGATTCTTAAATGTTCACCATGAGCCTCCTCATCCTTTGAATAAATAAGAATGTCATCAATAAACACTACTACAAACTTATCTAAATAGGGTCGAAAGATCCTATTCATGTAATCCATGAATACCGCAGGAGCATTCGTAAGTCCAAACGGCATCACCATGAATTCATAATGCCCATATCTCGTCCGAAATGCTGTCTTAGGTATATCCTCTGCTCTCACTCTCAATTGGTGGTACCCTGACCTTAAGTCAATCTTTGAGAAAACTGCGGATCCCACAAGCTGATCCAGCAAATCATCGATTCTCGGAAGTGGATATTTGTTCTTGATGGTTACTTTGTTCAATTGTCTATAATCAATGCACAATCGGAGGCTTCCGTCCTTCTTCTTTACAAAAAGGACTGGAGATCCCCAAGGTGAAACACTCGGTCTGATGAAACCCTTCTCAAGTAGCTCTTCAATTTGCTTTTTCAGTTCCGCTAACTCTGAAGGGGACATCCGATAAGGAGCCTTAGAAATTGGCCCTGTACCGGGTACCAATTCAATTGAGAACTCTACCTCGCGCTTTGGGGGTAAACCGGAGACTTCGTCTGGAAATACATCCGCAAATTCTTTGACAATTGGGATATTCTTCACGCCTTCATCAATCTCAGCTTGGATAGAGAAGAAAACCATGTAGGCCTGGCAACCCTTCTTCATACATCTATCAACTTGCGCCGCCGACAAGAAAACATGATCTTGAGTCTCGACTGGGGTCACCGATAAAGAAGATAAAGACACACTCCTCTCTCTACAATCTAGGATAGCACCATTTGCAGCCATCCAATTCATTCCCACAATTACATCCATACCTCTCAGTGGTAGGATAATTAAGTCCATAGTTGTTTTCCTATTTTTAAACTCGACTACTAGGTTAAGGCATGCCTTAGCAGTCCTTACAGATTCTCCCGCAGGAGTAGACACATTCATATCAAAAGGTAAAATACACACAGGCAAATCAAGGTTCTTTACACAAGTTTCAGAAATAAAAGAGTGTGTAGCACCCGAATCAAATAGTGCAACAATATCATGATGAAGGATTTTGATGTTACCTCTAATGGCATCTGGGGAGTTCATGGTGTCCTGAGTAAGAGCAAACACACGACCAGAGACAGTAGGATGTTGGGAAGGGTTCTTCATATTTGAGCCCTGGTTGTCCCCACAAAACTTTGCAATGTGACCGGGTTTCCCACAAATGTAACAGATCCAGCACTGTCCGAAATGACGACGCCCGCATTTAGTGCACTGTTGAGAGCTCGCTGTACTCGGGGCAGGGGTAGATACTGTTGGGCTCCTCTGTGACCCGTAATAACTACTATGATAGCTCCTCTGTCCTTGGCCCCTTTGAAATGGACCCTTCTGCCTTCCTTGGTTCCATGAGCTACTCGAACCCTGATGGTTTTTCTTCATAATGCCTCCGGTGGGTCGAGGGTAGGTTGGGGGTCTACTATATGAATAACCCCTCTTCTCTCTCTCAACCTCCTTCTTACTGCGAGCTACTACTTGTAGTTTTATGCACATTTCATCATAATCTCGGATATCTAGATGAGCCAATTGTTCCCTCAATTCTGGTCTAGCCTTCTCCAATAAGCGCTTAGCCTTCCATTCGGAATCATCCCTATACTGCAGGTACGTGGAGTATCTAGATAACTCCTGAAACTTAGCAATGAATGTGTCCTCATCGAGGTTCCCTTGCTTAAAGGCATGGAATTCCGCTTCCTTCTCAGACCTTAACTCTGATGGAAAGTAATGCCTGAATAATTTTTCCTTGAATTCCTCCCAGGTGAGTGTAGAATCATCCCTGGGCCCTGCTGTCTCCCACCAATCTCTTGCTCCTTTCACTAGGAGCACTAATGCTACTTGTACTTTTTGATTGCTGGTGCATGTGACTACTCGAAAGATGGATTCGAGTCTCTTCACCCATTCCTCTACCACGGATGGTTTAAGGTTACCATCAAACGTAGGAGGGTTAAACTTCCTAACAGTTTCCCACACATCAGTAATGGTCGGTGGGGCTCTCTGTTCCTCCTGCCTAATTTCTTTCCTTCTAGACTCATGATCTCTCAGAGTGGCAGGATGTGAGGAACTGCCTTCCCCCACATGACTCTCAACATGAGCCCTATCTCCATTTTCAGTTACCTTTTGCCTCTTTAGCTCCGTCAACTCTTGTTCGTATCCTTGAACCTTGTCTGTTAATGTTTTTACAAGCATTCTTAATTCCGCCAAGTCAGGCTCCTCATTTGGCAGTGGCGGTGGCAGGTGCTCATGTTGGAATCCTGAGTTACCACGAGTAACAGGCATTTTCTCTCCCCTCCTAAAGGATACAAGATATAAATAATAAAATTAGCCTAGCTATATCATGGCCATACAATGAGAAGCACCATAACAATGTATATTGCCAACCGACTATATGCTCTGATACCAATATGTAACACCCTCAAATTTACAAACCGATTTTTCGCAAGTTATTAATTCAAGAAATCATTTTTTTTTGAACCCTTATCATACCCTTATCATGGTAGAAATCCAAGACAATATACCACAGGTCTTAAAATATCTCAAAAAGCAATTAGAACCATGAGGGACAGACATGATCCTCATAGCATGTTATTTAAATTAGGTCATGAATCAAAAGGGACAGACATAATCCTCTTGGACATATAAATGCATTTAATAAAAAGGATTAGAGTTTACATGCTCCATAGACAAGATATGTCCTAAGTTGGCACAAGATACATTGTATAATCCAAAATAAGAGGCAACGTAAAAGATGGTGTCTCATACACCATAATTACACCTCTGGTGCTTTCTCGGCCGGATTCGCTCCTGTAAAAATATTAACCACGGGGAATGAGACTTAAAAGTCTCAGTAACCAAAAATTAATATGTAATGATGCATGCGGATGTAACTAATCATGCGATTGCTAAGTGGGCACACAAAACATTTAACCGAACAATATTTTCAAACAAACCGAACAAGTATTTAATTGCATGACTGCACCTTATATCCTCCTTTCACCATGCTCGGACGCCAAATCACCCGGCCAAAGGTGAGTTGGACCAAGCGACACGCCACTCATTGGGTCCAATGAGGGCTTACCACGTGGTAATAATTAACCGAACAGAAATTCCCATTAACACCATACATTAAAATACCCTGACAAGTCATGCATCATTCAAATATCCAAACAGGAATATATCCGAACAATAATATCTCATCATGATAAAACAAAAATAAATTTTTAACCCACTTGGCAATAATTTCAAACAAGTATATACAGTATTTATTTTCAATAATTCATAATTTTTCCAAACAACAAAACAACACATAACCATTCACAAACACACTCATCACAACACATTAATAATGGTTACCTTGTGTCTTGAATAACAAGTTCCCCTTCACAACTCCTTTTTCACCACTATCTTTGTCAATATAATCTACATAATTATTTCACAATACTATATATTAATTTTACATTAAAATAAATAACTCTAATTTAAATAGTTAGAAAGTCTTAGATCTATAATCCATATTAACACTAATTTAAGATTTATGCCTCATTTAACTTCCCAAATTCTTTTCTAAAATTCTCGTACCCTAATAAACTATTTTTTTTATCCTCAAATCACTTCTAGTATCACAATTTCATCCTTCTATATTCTAAAAATTCGTCCAAAAATAAATTAAATTTTAAAATTATCCTGAAGCCTCAAATCACCTTTCTATAACCTCAAAAATACCTATTCATACTTAAATAAATATTTAATAATCATAGATTTATCCCTACATCTCAGATTCCACATAAATTCAACCATATAGATCTAAATTTTAACTCAAAAATTCTTAAACATGAGTTTCAACCTCAAGAAAATATTCTATAATATTTATTATATCCCTAAGAGTTTTAACCTATATTTTTAATCCATCATATCATCAGATTAACTATCCTATAGAAAAATCCTAATCAAAATATTTACTCTATCCTACAAAATAATCATATCACTAGAAAACTAATATTATTTAGAAAATAACTATAAAATTAATTTTGTAATTAAATAAATTTTTAAATGCTAATCTAAACAGGAAAGTTAGAACATACCTGAAGAAAAAAGAAAATAATCCCCCCTTGCGAGAAAACGCCGAGCAACGTGAGAGGAAGAGAGAAAAATAATATAAAAATGAGATTGTGAGTCCCAAAATTATATTAAAAAAAAAACTATAGGTTTGAATTTAATTATTCAAACCTTTGGGCCCAAAGTTGCAATTTTCTCTAAATTGCATCTTAGCCTCTCATGCTTCCTAATGCACACACCCCCTCCTTTTTATACATGAAGGCACCTCTTCTCTTCCCTCATCTAACCAATGTGGGACTTAGAAACAACAACCTTCCACCCCCTCCTTTTTTTTGTTCCTTCTACCTTCTCTTTTTTTTTTAACACACACATAAAAAAAATTATTTATGTATTATATCTTAACTAAATATTGCTTATGTGGTTTTAAATTTAAATTTTTAAATTCATAATTAAATACCTAATCATAATATTATTTCTAAATAACCTCAAATAATATAAATTCCTATTATTATCATTTTTTTTCCTCAAAATCTAAATTCCACAATTTCTTTATTACATAAAAATCAGGATGTTACAACCACCTCCAGCTATCTTCAAATATCTTTCATGGCATCTTCAACATTTTCGAAAATGAACTAAGGGCATCGTATGCATCTATTTGCAATGCATTTCTTCCCTATTTTTCATGTATGTGCAATTTTCTTCCACAAACAATCTTCATGTGGCTTCAATAGTCTTCAACATTTTCCCATGGAATTCAATTTTCTTATTGAGTCTACAAGTCACTTCAAGGGCTTCAATAGTCTTTCACCTCTAAAGATATTGTCACTCTAGAACCGTGGTCCCTAAAATCAAGAGAATGATAAGTAAGAACCTTATAAAAAAATTAATGTCAAATCAAGAATTTTAGTATTGAAACATGGGATAATGAGTATTGAATTTGAGAACGTTAGTATTGAAAAATTTTAATTTGACATTAATATTCTTATAGGATCCTTGTCATTCTCCCCCTGAAATATTTAATTAAGCTCTTGGGACTTTTACCCAAATATTCGAACCTCATGGTCCTTCTCCCAACTGGTTAATGTTATGGTGAATTAAACATGATAATACACAATTGGCTGGTTGGCTTATTCAATGAATAAAGTATACATTTAGTCATTTAATTTTATACAATGTTTCATTTTAATTCCTTAACTTTATAAAGTATCTTTTAGTCATTTAACTTTAATACTGTTAGTTTTATCCCAACAAATTTTTAAATTAAACTTTTAAATATTGAAAAAATATTTTCAAATGTTAATATATTAAGTTTACTTTTTTTTAAAATAACAATGATTGACACAAAAAATAATCATTTGAAACTAATGATACTAGAGTTAAAGAGTTAAAAAAATACTTTACAAAATTAAAAGATCAAATTGAAATCTTACATAAAGTTAGAAGATTAAAAATATACTTTAGCCTATACGAAGACAAATTTAAGTGAAACTTAAATTCCTTTAACTGAATTGATGGGTTTTGTTTTGAAAGCTCTAGAACACATAAGATGTTTTATTTTTATAATGCCAAGTAATCTCATTCAGAGTCTATATAAAGGGAAAAAAAATGAAGGAAACGTTAATTAAAAAAAAAACCAACCTCCATATATGCTAATACAAGATATTTTAATGACTGTAAACATTAATGAAAATAGTTACTAATATTTTCTGTTCTGAAATTTTTTAAATTAGTTTTTAAGATCACCTTAATTGAATTCAATAAATTCTAACATCGTTTTTCTAGTTAGCAGGGAAAAGATTAGGCCAAAGTTTGGTTCTAATTCTTATTCTTTTGCATTTTGATGGGTCTTTTTTTTTTCCTGATTTCTTGGTTCTCTCTCTTTCTCTCTTAAATTTTTATTTTTAGAACATTCTGATCGTACAAAACCATTTGATCCGGAGACAATCCCAACATCATATGGTGATAAAACTCATATCACAGACATTCAGTATCAGTTAGATTTCTCAATTTCTATTGGTTTTTGACTTCGAAAATCCATTATATATAATTTCAACAAGATGCCTCCTCTGTTGAGTTTATTAAATTCAGAGGTTGACACTGTCACTTGCTATGTGAATTGTATGTGCCAATGATAATCACAAGCTACTCCAAATCTTGTCATGGTTAGGTTTAACTAACAAATTGATGGGATTAATCCACGAAGTCGGTTATGGATGTCTACCTAATTCATCAGAAGCCAGCTTAGTCACAAAACACATACTGAATATTGATAATATTGCAAGCACCACTCCCAATAATAATAATAATACTTGTATAAATCATTAACAAATATGGAGAGTAAACCTATCAAACCTGCTTCTTTTGAAAAATATATTATATACCTAATGCGAAAGAGATGTGTCATCATATCAATTAGTGCCTAGATTGATGATGAATAACTTGTTTTTCAAGAGATCAAGCTTTACAAATCAATCAAATTCAGTGCTTTGAAACTCAGTTGCCTTGCATTCTCATTTGCTTTTCTTTACTTAGCTCCCTTTTGGGCTATTTGACCTTTCATAGTTTATTATGCTTAACACAAGTGTTCGAAAGAATGAAATCCCTGACAAATTAGGAGCACTGGGTATCATATACTCTTAAGTGAAGCAATTTTACTCTTAAACTATTTTTTTGAGGAGTAGAAAACTCTTCCAAAGATGAGCCATTAACTCTATTGTTATATACTGACATGGCATGTTTGTAGGACCCACGTACAGTGATAGGTAAAATTTTGACCATATCTTTTGGTACTAATTTGCTCCTGGATTCTTTTTTGAAGAGCGTTGAGCATTCTAAAGTCTTTTTCTATGAGTATTGAGTACCTTGAAGTCTTATTAAAATAAAATTTAATAAATATTGTCAAAATATTAAATATTTTCATATTTAATAATTTAAATATTATTATTTATAAATATTCATTCAAAATTTATAAATTACTTTTTAAATATTAACAACTCAAACTAGTATTTTATAAATTTATAGATAATTTTTTATTTTTTATATATCGATATTCAATTTTCTTTTTGAAACCGTGCCCAAATCATTATGCTTTTTGTGCGTGTCGAAACTTACTTATATTTTTAATATTAGTTAAATTTCTTAATTTTTTTGATCAACTAATGATTTTTTTCTAAAATATTACACTACCCAAATTTAATAATCTTGATACATCGCAGTGTTAGAAGTAAAATAAAAAATATGACATTCAGGACCAACAAAATGACAGTAAAAATATTTATTTGAAAGATATTATTTATTCCTTTAATATGCTACCAAAAAATTATTTAACAAGAAAAAAATGAAGAGATGAAAAAAAAAAAACCTTCGTTAATTTGGATGTTCATTCCTTTCATTTTTAATACAAAATTACAAAATATTAAAAATATTAAAATATTAATTTGGTTGGTGTAATGTTTTAAATAATAATATTTAAATTATTAAATATTAAAATACTTAATATTTTAACAATATTTATTAAATTTTATTTTAATAAGACTTTAGGGTGTCCAGTACTCTTAGAAAAAGGCTTTAGAGTGCTCAACGATCTTGAAAAAAGAATTCAGAGACAAATTAACATCAAAATACATGGTCAAATCCTTACATGTCACTGTGTATGAGCCAACACACATGCCATATCAGCATATAATAATAGAGTTAATAGTTCACTAACAGAACAATTTTTTGCTAGTAATTCATGAGTAAAATTACCTCATTAAAGAGTATAAAATATTTAACACTTCTAACAAATAAAAATAGAAGTAAAATTGGACAACCTTATTAAAAAAGTACTGAGTTTTAAGGTCTAGGGAATCCAGAGTGTCATGTCTTGATAAAAGTCCTACCAAACAAAGACACGATTTTTATGTTATCCTTATAATATAACAGAACGTCGTCGACATGTTGGACTTTAGTGTTCATGTCGTTTTCTGGCATCAGTGGAAATGGTCAACCAAAAAGCAAAATCTACAGTTTCTCACTACCAAATCAAGCAAAAGTTCAACCTCAACATTATGGCATTGTTTATTTATTTATTTGATTCACTGGGTTCAGATAAGAAAATAAAGTCTCGAGTTAAACTGCAAGTACAATAAAATGAAGTGCATGGTCCACCACCTTGATGGCATTTAGACCGTTGAACAAACGACTGATTTTACAGAGATTTTTTTTTTTTAACTGTGGATAAAATAGACTAATTTTCCTGATTTGGCGGTATGGATTACTCTCATTTTCTGAAATAAAACGAATATGTCAGACTCAAATCTTTGTCTGATGGAGCCCAGCAAATATTTGGGAATTAAACTGATGAGGAACAAAAATGATCCTCTTAAACATTAATTCATTAGGTTAGGAAGAGAGACAAAAATAAGTGTGCAGTTCATTTTTGTTCCTATTTCTCTCTTTATTTTTTTTTATTTTTTTGAGTTTAGACCAAGACATATCTCCAAATTTAAAGAATGATAACAAAAATATTTATAAATTACCCACCAACAAGGTTTTCATATTAACAAGAGTTGATCCCACAATTTTATAAATTATGGACTAAATTTTTACCAAGTAGACTAACCTTTATTAGTTGTTCTTGTTTCTCTCTAACTCTACCTATATAAAGCATTTTAAAGGATCAAGTCATAGAAGGATATATGAGTGGGGCGAAATATTAGGTTAATCACCAGTCAGATAAATCGATATGGATGATTTTTTTTAAAATAATAGCATGAGAAATATATACATTTCATAACTCACCATTATATGAGTCGATTCATCAAAGGATTTTAAAAAAAATACATTTCATATTTCATTTTAAAAAAAAATTGGTAGAAGTATGCCTAATTCATCATAAAGTAAATGAGACACCGCAAGTCTGAAACTCATTTTGCCTTCTCATTTATTTTAACAAAACAAATGGTTGAAGAAAGTGTCAAGGAAGACTTTTTTAAAAAATAAAAAATAAAAATCGCACACCAAACCTTAACATTTCATTAAGATGATGATAATGTAACAATAACAACTGGAGAAGCCTAGTTTGATTGGCTTATAGATAGCAAAACAAGCATGCTTTACTGTCAGAACGAGCTGAAAAAACTGTCTTCAGCAAAATGTTCTAATGCTTAACCTTAGTGAATTGAAAACTGGACCAGACCGGACGGTCGGACTTGTCAGACCGTCGACCGGTCACGCTAACAGTTCTGTCAAGCCAAAAAAAACTATTTGGAAAGTTGGTTCGGGTTGGGTCGTTTTAAACCAACGGTCGGACCTAGAACAGAAATTAAGTCGGGACCTGAATTGTTCAAAAAATGCCTCTCTTTTTTAATCTTTTTTGTCAAATTTTTTTTAAACAATAATCAATTTTTTTAATCATTTAATATTATACTGTATTATATGGTTTATTAAGTCATGATAAACATAAATTATTTAATTTTATTAAGTTAAGTAGCAATTTCATATTTATTTTTTATATTTAAATTATTATATATGTATAAAATTTTTTTAATTTAATTATTACGTTATCGGTTCGATTATTAGTCCAACCAGGGTTGGATCATGCAAACTATAAATCGTTAACTTTTTCGATTCAATGTCTGATCCGATTTTGAAAATATTGCTTAACCTAGTCTCCTTGTTGCTGATCTCTTCTTTGCATGAAAATCAAAGGACCATATAACATCTGCTCCACAGTTGATTGCGCTAGTGGGTGCACCAAATCCTCTCTTATGGTTAGACTAATCGTCCTTTAATATTAAGTACACTGTTGACTCATGCAAGAAGCCATCAACTTATACAATGCAATATTTAAAAGGAAATTCCTATATTGGCCTTTCCCTCTATAATAAATACCTGCATATCAGACCAGTCTCAAGCAAGGTCCATTCCACCAAGTCAGAGACAACAATGGATACTTTCCAACTTGCTGGCAAGTCATGTTGCTTCTGGCTCTTACTCAACTTGCTCACTATCATTGTTTGTGTTGATTCTTTTGCACCTCCAGAGACTCACTACCATGAATTTGTTGTAAGTGCCAGCTTTATGATAATGTGTTATGCTACTGGTTATCATGTCACAGATCCATGAATATTATGATGAAGCTAGTTACTGATTAGCATGGCTTCAAATATTGAATGAAATAGATTCAAACGACGCCAGTGAAGAGGCTGTGCAAAACTCTCAAAGTACTCACTATCAATGGGCAATTCCCAGGGCCGACAGTGGAAGCTAGAAATGGAGATTCACTTGTCATCAAAGTAACTAATGCTGCAAGATACAACATTTCCATCCACTGGTAATCAATATCACATTCATCTTGACAAGTTCACTTGTTGGTTCATCATGCTTGATATTTGATTTTCCTCATAATTAATCTGATGTGCTTCTAGGCATGGCCTTCGAATGCTGCAGAACCCATGGGCAGATGGACCTACTTATGTGACTCAGTGTCCGATCCCACCAGGGGGGACTTACACATATCGCTTTACTATCAATAACCAGGAAGGCACGCTATGGTGGCATGCTCACACTGGATTCCTCAGAGCTACTGTCTATGGAGCTTTCATAATCTATCCAAGATTGGGTTCTCCTTATCCTTTCTCAATGCCCAAGCGAGAATATCCCATTCTTCTTGGTATATCTCTTGAGCTTTCTCAGTCATCTATGCTCTACTAGGCTACTCCTATTTTTTTGCCTTCGCAAATTGAGATTGAAGCTTATAATCAAACAGTAAACACTTCCAGTGCTATTGAGCACCTCATGTTCTATGAATCCAAGGCAGTCAAATCTGATTATGTCTATGATTAACAGGGGAATGGTTCGGTAGAGATCCAGTGAGTCTCCTAAGGATGACACAATTTACAGGAGCACCTCCAAATGTATCTCTTGCATACACCATTAATGGTCAACCTGGAGATCTCTACAGATGCTCCAGCCAAGGTTTTAAATTATTTTCAAATCACCACTACAAAGTATATTAACATTCTCTCAGGTTGAAAAGGATAAAGAACTGACCATAACTCATGATGTAATGACTACGCAGATACTGTACGAATTCCAGTAGAACCCGGTGAGACAATTCTCTTGAGAATAATCAACAGTGCACTTGAACAAGAACTCTTCTTTTCAATTGCCAACCACAGGATGACCGTTGTTAGCATTGATGCCGCTTATACCAAGCCATTCACCACAACAGTCCTCATGATAGCACCAGGCCAGACAATCAATGTCCTCCTCACAGCTGATCAAGCCCCAGGTCGTTACTACATGGCAGCACGTGCTTACGAATCAGCCCAAAATGCTCCTTTTGACAACACCACCACCACTGCTATCCTCGAATACAAATCTGCTAGCTGCAAGAATTGTGGACAATTCTCAAGACCAATATTGCCAGCTCTTCCAGCCTTTAATGATACAGCAACTGCAACTGCATTCAATGCTGGACTCCGGGGCCTTTCCCAGGTTAAGGTATTCCAAGAGGTTGATGTGAGTCTTAATTTCATAGTGGGTTTGGGATTGATCAATTGCACAAATCCTAATAGCCCCCGTTGTCAAGGACCCAATGGAACTCGTTTTGCAGCCAGCATGAACAATGTATCTTTTGTACTCCCAAGAACTACCTCCTTAATGCAAGCATACTATCAAGGTACACCTGATGTCTTCACCACAGACTTTCCCCCTGTTCCACCTCTGCAATTTAATTATACTGGGAATGTGCCCCGAGGCCTATGGACGCCTTCTCGAGGAACTAAGCTTTACAAGTTGAAGTATGGTTCCAATGTGCAAATTATTTTCCAGGATACAAGTATAGTAACAACTGAGGATCACCCCATGCATATTCATGGATACCATTTCTTCATAGTTGGTTCAGGTTTTGGGAACTTCAACCCAGCAACAGATCCTGCTAAGTTCAACCTTGTGGATCCACCAGTGAGGAACACCATAGGAACACCTCCAGGTGGATGGGTGGCCATTCGTTTTGTAGCTGATAATCCAGGTAATATGCTACTGACAAATTTATTAGTCCTAATCTCTCAACTTGAATGAAAAAATACATTACTAGTTACATGATTTTCATTTATTGGTTCACAACAGGGATTTGGTTCGTGCATTGTCACATAGATTCACATCTCAATTGGGGTTTGGCAATGGCATTCCTGGTAGAGAATGGTGTTGGACCATTACAGTCAGTAATACCACCACCACCAGATCTACCAAGATGTTAAGATGAAGAATACGTCATCAATCATACACTTTACGCTCGTCAAATATTAGCTCGCTGTTTGCAAATTCTACAAATATTTTCCAAAATAGTCAATGTTATTTTCCAAATATTTGCAAATTCTACCAAGTGTGGTTTTCTGCTTTCATACCTAGTCCAGAATAGGATGATGCTCAAAATTGAGCAGCAAAGTTGTGTTCCCTTGATTGTGTAAGCCTCTTGAAAGATGCATACTTTCATACCATGTGTGGTTTTCTGCTTTCATACATAGTCCAGAATAGGATGGTGCTCAATTGAGCAGCATACTTGCGTTCCCTTGATTGTGTAAGCCTCTTGAAAGACAAATAACAGAGGAATGATTTCTTATCATTTGTATTGTCAGTCCTTTTGTTCAGGAAAAATATGTTCCATTCTGACAAGTTGATAGTCAAGGTTGTAGACATAAATTCCCAATCGAAAGAGATTATTGGGTAGATTATGTAAACTAATTCTAAGTAAACCTAATCAATCGTGGATTAACAAGTAAACCAACATGTCAAAGATTGATGCCCAACAAAATCATGTGCTTGTCCATTATTAATGGGATCCATCAATCTTTAGTAAACCAAGGCTACAAAAAAATTTTCCTCATTGAGTCCTTGTCCTACGGTGCCATCACCATGCAGGGATACGTAAACTGATCCAACATCAAAATACTTTTTTAACTGGGTTAATCAAATCAGTAGGATGCAACAGGATCACAACATATCATTTATTAAATATAATCATATACAATTTCAATGATTGTGTATGGTGGTTTGAGTACCGGACCATACTACTCATGGCTAGTGAATAAAATAACTTGCTAGATGCCTAGATATTTTATTATACAAATTGATATATTGATTGATTCCGTAACACTAAAACGAAGGTTATAGCCAAGCCAATCACATTAAAGATGTGAAAACATTAAACAAGCGATGAATCAGTGAAATGGAGGAGCTTTTTTCTTCCTTTATTTTACTTTATTTTATTTTATTGGGGGGGTGGGTGATGTGTTCTTAGTAAGGGGGAAGGGGAGTTCAGTAGACCTTGCTTTTGAGCAAAATGAAAAAGAAAACCCATTTTGGAATTTAGCAAACTCTGATCATACCTCTGATCTGACATTGTAAATAAAGTTTTCTGGCCAAGCTCAAATGTCTCATGTATCAAGCTACAAATTTCAAGCAACGAGTATCATTGTGTACATTTTGACAACGATATGAACAGAAGCGCGTGCCACATCTAACACAAGTATAGTTGGCTGAAAACCCACAAACTGTACAAAAGTGGCGACGGCAGGTTGAGCTTGGAGGTCCAACTGCTGCTTTCCAATAAGATGGTACATGCAGAGGTAATGATTCTAGGTTTGCCTATGTTTGTAAATGAAGTTAGCTTTAAAAAATCAAAGCAAGTAGCAACTAGATAAGCAAGAGATTGTCAGTGTATATTGCTTATATGGTTTATTCACCTCATGTAAGAGCTCAAGGAAAGTTCTTGGGGCCTTCCTTGCTTCAAGTGCCTTTGCCTGCCGGGTCGTCCTTTTGGTGCCCTTGGACTGCTTTTTTTGCACATACACTACATAAACAGGTCCAGAAAAAGAGAATAGTGAAAGGAATCCATTAACAACCAAATGCAAGCATTTCATGGACAATTAATTCTTAAGCGCCTTGTGACTCCAAATGATTCACTAACAGCCAATGAGATTCACGATTTTACGCAATGGTCAAATATCAAATAAAAGAAGAAAGAGAAAAGAAATATAAACAGTTTCAGAAAACCAAGGCGATATAAACCTTGATCTTCATCATCTAGAGAAGCTTCGTCATCATCAATAGCTTCTGCAGTCTCAAATCCTGCATTGTCATTCTCCAAAGCTTCAAGGCGAGCAAGTGCAGCCTAAAATTAGTAGTTCAAACTTTACCATATGGTTGAATGAAAAACCAAACTCGTTAACACCTTATAAATTTATTCAGAATTTTCAACCTGTGTGCGATTATCACTGCTAGCAAGGGCAGCAACCATTTTCGGTGCAACCTTTCGAGTTCGGCTTGACATTCGGCGAAGAGGGTTAGAGTTTTCGTCCTCCATTTCTGCATAACAAGGTCAAATTTGAAAGCTTGCACAAAACAAAAACATGAAAGCTAAGAAATAAAAGAGACTGGAAAATGGCTAGAATTGAACCCCAAACTTATTGTTCCCACTTCATTCTAAGTTTAGGTATCCTTCTCTTCCCTTCCCTCAGTGACTTTGAGGAATCGAAAGAAGAAAGTACACACAGAGAACTTATTGTGGCAAGAAACAGAACACTGTAATTTCACTGGCTAAGTAGCTTGGCTTGACAAATAGGATGGGCCCATTTTCCTTTGCGAGTGATAGAATGGGCTGATTTTCAGGAGAATGATAGTTAGGTCTTCATCTAATGACGATCCAGTGCTTGACAAAATTTTCTCATTTAATTTCCCAACCAATTTAGGAGCAAGTTTTTCCAAAGCAAAGGATAAAGAAGTTCTAAAATAATATACCACTATGTACTTTAACTATATTTTTTGGCGAAGTTCATGTTGGATTTTATGACAATTATAACTATATATTTTGGCATGTGGTTAGTGTTGTTATTTGGATGATGATCTTAAATGGTCTGATTATGCAATTATATGACTCGGACAAGCATGTAAATAATTTCAAATGTTATGTTGAATATAGAAGCATGTTTAAATATGTTTGAGCATGTGCATGAGTTTGAGCTTGGGTCCAATGCCCAAGAATCATGTATGATAGTTATAGAATATCCCAACACATCCAAATGAATTCATCCAATGCATTAGTAAGCCCTGAAGTAATGATAATTGGTATGTGCAATTATAGCCTAAAAGGATAATTTTAAGGGTAAAATGAGAATTAAATTTGAAGGACAAATTCTGAACAGTATGGAAGCAGATTCCGTTTGGAATTATTTTTTTGAGAAAATTAATCTTTTAATCCTTCAACTTTTAGCTCACTTGTAACTCAATCCTTCAACTATAACTCATTGTAACCCAATCTCTCAACTATGACTTACTACGACTCAATCCCTCACCTTTTGACTCACTCATAACTCAATCCTTATTTTTCAAATTTTTTTTAATAATTATCATAATCAAATAAGAGGGATAAAGCAAATTCTCATATATTGCTCTAAAATACCCTCCTCTAGCTATTTGATGTGGGATTTAAGCTAACGTGTAAAAAAGAGAGAACTAACAAGAGTTGAGGGATTAACAAGTGAGTCAAAAGTTAAAGAACTGAATCATTGAGAATCTGCAGTGCTGAAAGTCTTGCTTTATTTGAAAGACTGAAGCATACATATAGAGGAGAGAAGATCTGATAGTATCGCACCAAATCTGCCCTAATAACTAAGAAAGATAATAATAAAATATTCTGATTCTAATATCCCTATAAATCTGTAAAAATATCTCTAAGAAAATAAAAATAATTATAATGAATTAAACTAGGGCTAGATAAGTTGATAATGGGCCTAGGCTAAGTTGGCCCACTTCCAACACTCCCTCTCAAGCTGGCGAATAAATATCAATCATTCCCAACTTGCTTATTAGCTCTTCAAACTTGGTTTGCATCAGAGGTTTAATCATCACATCTGCAGCTTGCTTTCCTAATGAAAGGTAGGAAAGATCTATAACCTTAGCTTCTGTTTTTTTCTTTAATGAAATGTCTATCAATTTCCACATGTTTTGAACGATCATGTTGAACTGGGTTGCTGGCAATCTTCAAGGCAGCCATGCTATCACACCACATTTTAATTGGGGTATTTGGTTGTACACCAAGTTCTTTAAGTACTTGTACAACCCATATGCCTTCACAAATTCTAAGGGCTAAGGCCCTATATTCAAATTCCACTAAGCTTCTAGACACAACCGGCTGTTTCTTACTTCTCCATCTCACAAGGTTTCCCCACACAAAGGTGCAATACCCTGTAGTAGAGCGCCTATCAAGAATGGATCCTGCCCAATCAGCATCAGTATATACTTTTATATCTGTTTCACTTTTAATATCAGGTGTTCTCTTGTTTCCATTCGTGTAGATCTCCACACTCTTTCTATCTCCTTTAGAAAAGAATAACCCCTTCCCTAGAGTAGTTTTAAGATATCTAAGAATACCATAGACAGCTTCCATATGCTCTTTTTGTGGATTACTAGCAAATTGGCTTACAACTTTGACAACAAAGATATATCTAGCCAGGTATAAGATAAATAAATTAGCTTTCCTACCAACTTCTGGTATCTCTCCTCATTGGTTGATTTCCCATCAGGTTTTACTTCTAGGTTGCAATTAAGCTCCATTGGAGTATCTGCAGGCCTAGAACCCATCATACCAATCTCCCTAAGAAGGTCAAGAGTGTACTTTCTCTGTGTGACATTGATGCCCTTCGATGATTGAGCTACCTCCAACCCAAGGAAGGACCTAAGGTGGCCAAGATCTTTAATCTCGAATTGGGCAGCAAGTTTTTTCTTCATTTTGTCAATCTCTTCAGTGTCATTACCTATCAATAGAATATCAACTACATAGACAATTAGTATGACAATCTTTTTACCAAACTTCTTAATAAAAGTATGATCTGCTTGACACTGGATATAACCAAATCCTTTGACAGCACATGTGAATTTTTCAAACCAAGCTCTAGGAGATTGTTTCAATCCATATAGGGACTTTTGGAGCTTGCAGATTTTGTTTGCATTCTTGGGTCCTCTCAAACCCAAGGGCATCTCCATGTACACTTCCTCTTCTAAGTCTCCATATAGGAAGGCATTTTTCAGATCTAGTTGATGTAGTGACCAATCTAATTTGCAGCCAGAGACAGCAAAACATTAATAGTACTAAATTTAACCACGGGTGCAAATGGCTCTTGATAGCCAATGCCATAAGTTTGGGTAAAACCTTTAGCAACTAACCATGCTTTGTATTTATTTAGACTCCCATCTAAGTTGTATTTCTTAGTAAAGACCCATTTTACTACCTACGATTGACTTCCCACTAGGCATATTAACAATTTCCAAAGCCCAGTTTTTGTCTAAGGCCCTCAATTCTTCATCAATGGCTAATTTCCATTTTGGATCAGATTTGGCTTCTTCAAAAGTTCTAGGTATTTCTTCATTATCAAGAGCGGTAGCAAAGGTCTTAAGCTTGGTGTTAAGCTTATCATAGGAGACATACCTTGCAATGGGGTGTTGAGTGCAACTCCTCTTGCCTTTTTTGAGAGCAACAGGCCACTGAAGATCTTCAGGATTATCCTCAAGTTGTGAATCATGACTTTGCCTTGGAACATCAATGGAACCCTCGCTGTGTGTGATTTGTTCAGGTTGATTTTCCCTCATTTCAGGTTGAGGTCAGGACTAGCACAAACAGGTGTTTCTGGTTCAGGATTGATAATGCCAATGGATTCATAACTTAGATGATCATTCCCTATAGTGGCACAAATTAACCATTCACTATCATTCTACCCCTGAATAGGTAATTTGGGATAGAATGGAAGTGATTCAACAAATCTAACATTCATAGTGACATAGAACTTCCATGTTTCAGGAGAGTAACATTTGTACCCTTTTTTCGTTGAGGAGTAACCAAGGAAGAGACATTTAATAGATCTAGAATCCAGTTCCCCCTCCCCCATCATGGAAAACAAACCATGCACCCAAAAACCCTTTTTGGAAGGGAATTTATAAGATGCGAGTGAGGATAAGATTCTAAAAAGCTGTGGAGAGGAGTTTGAAACTTGAGAATTTTTGAGGGCATACGATTGATGAGATAAGCAGCAATTAGAACAGCATCTCCTCAAAACTTATTGGGTATATTACCACCTAACAAAAGAGATCTAGCTACTTCTAAGAGATGTCTTTTTTTTCTCTCAGCCACACCATTTTGTTGGGGTGTATGCACACAAGATGTTTGGTAGTGTATCTTTTTTTCAATAAGAAAGGTCCGTAGGTCAGTGTTAAGATACTCAATTCCATTGTCACTATGAAGTATTTTAATAGAAGTCTAGAATTGATTTTGAACAAAATGATAAAAGTTTTTAAAGATAGTAACAACTTCAGACTTGTTTTTCATTAAAAACAGCCACATAAGGTGGGTATGAACATCAATGAAAGTAACAAACCACCTAGCTTTAGAGTGAGTTTCGATTTTAGAAGGACCCCACACATCACTGTGCACAAGAGTGAAAGGATTAATAGGTGCATAAGTAGAAGCAGGATAAGGAGTGCGAGTTTATTTGGCAAACTGACAGATATCACAATGAAAATTGATTTTATTCATAGAGTTTGGAAACAAAAGTTTCATATAATTAAAACTAGCATGACCTAATCAAAAATGCCATAACAAAGTCTCTTCTTGAGACATAACAGCAGAAGCAAAAACAGGTTTGGAAACAGAACTAGGATCAGTCAAAAGGTCTTTCTTTTTGGGTTTCCCTTCAAGGTAGTAGAGTCCATTGTGTTCCTTAGCATTGCCAATCATCTTCCCCAAGGCTAAATCCTGAAAAAAATAGTGAAATTTGTCAAAGATTGCAAGGCAATTTAACTGATAGGCCATGCATTTGACAGACAGCAAATTGCACTGAATATCAGGTACATACAGCACATTCCTCAACACAATAAACTCTGAAATAACAACTGTTCCAGATTCCATAACTTGTGCATAAGTATTATTAGCTACTTGCACACGCGTGTGTTCAGAATAAGGACTAAACTCAGAAAACAACTCCTGAAATCCAGTGATGTGATCCGTAGCACCAGAGTCAACAACCTAGATATTTTTACCCCCATTAACAGCACTAAAGTCAGTAAGTAGAGTTGTATTTGTTTGAGCCAATGTAACTAAAGGAGTGAGTTTCTCACTTGGTTTTTCTTGAGCATACCTCTCTAGGATTCGTTTGAGCATGACGAGTTCTTCACTGTTCAGTAAATTTCCTTCAGTTTGACTGACTGCAAAACCTTTGCTATCACCTATATTCCTTTGCTTCAAGTGACTAGGTTTACCATGGATTAGCCAACAAGTCTCTCAAGTGTGACCATTCTTGTTGCAATTATCACAACAAAGAGACTTCTTCCCTTTTGAATCTCCCCCTTGATTGCCCCGAGTCACCATAGCAGAGAATTCGGTAGTTGGTAGAGGAGTAGGAGAAGAAAGTTGAACAAGAGCCTTACGGCTTTCCTCATATTTTATCATGTTAAACATTTCATCAAGTGAAGGAAGAGGTTTCATGCCCATTATATGACCTCCAAGATCTTCAAACAAGTCATGGAGGCCAAGAAGGAATTCATAGCATCTTTCACGTTCAACAACCCTTTTGTAGTAAACTTCATCAACGTGACACAACCACTGATGAACTTTATATAGATCTATATGCTGCCATATACGCATCAAGGAAGTGTAATATAACATAACTGATTTCTCTCCCTGCATGAGAGTTCGAAGAGCCCGTTTTGCTTGAAAAATAGCTGCAGTATTCTCTTGAACAGAGTAGGTACGCTGTGCTGTTTCCCAGATTTCTTGAGCAGTGTTGGCAAGAAGGTAGTTCTCACTAATTTTACTGTTCATAAAGTGAACTACCCAGGCCATAACCGTATTATTTTCTGCACACCACACTCCATATTTGGGATCACCAGTTTCTGGCGCCTTTGGATGCCCAGTCAAGTAACACTCCTTGCTGCATCCTCGCACGAACATCAACACATTTCTGGACCATTGTAGATAATTGTTGCCGTTGAGTCAATGGGTAATGATGAGTTGAGAGGAGGAATCTGTATGTGAATTCCCAAAGGAACTCACACCAATCCCCTGTGTTCGCAGTCCCGCTTGAGCTTCCACCTTGCGCCAGGGAGTTTAGAGGAGATTCTCCATCTGTGGTGAAAGCTCTGGGACTCGTTAGCACTACCTTATACAACATAGGAGTCACAGCTCTGATACCATGAGAATCTGCAGTGCTGAAAGTCTTGCTTTATTCGAAAGACTGAAGCATACATAAAGAGGAGAGAAGATCCGATAGTATCGCACCAAATCTGCCCTAATAACTAAGAAAGATAATAATAAAATATTCTAATTCTAATATCCCTATAAATCTGTAAAAATATCTCTAAGAAAATAAAAATAATTATAATGAATTAAACTAGGGCTAGATAAGTTGAAAATGGGCCTAGGTTAAGTTGGCCCACTTTCAACAGTCATAAGCAAGTCATAGTTGAGGGATTGAGTCGCAGCAAGTAATAGTAGGGAGACTGAGTTACAAGTAAGTTAAAATTTGAAGGATTAAAAGATTAATTTTTCCTTTTTTTTCAAGTAAAGTATTTCAAGAGCTTTAAATAATAGAGACTTGAACCAACCTCAAACAATAAAATCATCCATCCAGTAATTATTTGTGGATGCTGTAAATTCATAGGTCAACCAACGCTCTTTCTAGCTTTATCTCCAGCTTCCTTAATCCAACAACATTGCTAAAAAACCCATTTTGAAAATGCTAGAGTTCTTGCTAGTTCATTCCTGGTATCCTGATGTGGTTTTTTATTTCTAATCGATCAAATACTGTGTAGGAGTGAACAAACTTGAAACTTTGATATTTTCTTGGAATTACTAACAATGTGTTCTAGCCAAGTGATTACTGACATACCATTAACAAAGGAACAGTAAAAACTAATAGAGCAAGCAAGCCAAATTAATCCAAAAGGAGGGCTACGCACATGGAAGTGGCATCAGAATGGCAGATAATAACAATGGGAAAAATTCCAAGTTCTGATTGTTCATTACTTGCTAATGGGTTTAAGAAAAAATGAAATCTAGTACATGTTAAGCAAGAAAATACATCATATATATATTCTTGCAAGATGATTGATAAGTAACAACACAATTTTGAACATGAGAATACATACGCAATAGAAGAAAAGAATTCAATTGAGCATGGATATAGCCATACAGAGCCAAAATTTCAACATCCAGAGCTTCAATCATTCAATCATTCCAGCAGATTCAACGCAGATCTCACAGCAAAAATCAAATTAAAATAAGAGACATGAATGTGAACCAGAATAAGAAGCTGACAATAAAAATAAAACCAGAATAACCAGACAGCAAAAATCAAACCAGAAAAAAAAAAAGCATGCACCAATGTGACTGCAAATCAGAATAAGAAGAAGACAGCAAAAATTGAACCCCAACCAAAAAAAAAAAAAAAAAGCAAACAACCAAAATAAAACATGAATAAGAAGCAGATACCAAATCGAACCTCAATCTGAAGTTCTAATTGGCGAGTATGGAGACTGAAGAGAATGTGAACAGTAATGTGAACTTCAAAGCTTCAGCCTTTAGATCGGTATGGAGTATGGCTACACAAAGGACGGACAGGACAGGACTTCAATCTAGCCCGAAGTATAGTCTTTTTTATGGAAAGGACTAGATTAGTCAACCTGTCATCTAAAGTAATGATTTGATTCAAGGCTGACATACTCCAAATGCTGATTCTGTACAGGTCCTCATTTTATACGAGGATTGGATTTGTCTCACTCCTCTTTCTGGACGAGCTAAGATAGATGCTGTTTGATAGAGTACCAAGTAGTATAGGATAATGGGTGATGTGGGGGAGTTAGAGAGATATAGGAACAATTATTATTTTCAAGTTATTTTAGATATTATCTGTTTAATAATATTTTTCAGATTATTTTTCTGTTTCATTGAGTGGTCCTCAAATTCAGGAGTACTGGATGCTTGTGGATTATGTTAATCATTTTATTATTTATTTATTTATTTATTTTTCAGATAGTTATGCCCCATTATCTAAGTTATGGATTAGTGGGAGTATTTTTAGGAATTATTAGTTATTTTTCTATCTATAAATATTGAAGCACGACATGTAGAAATCACCTAGAAATACAATCCTTCTTTCGTTGTAATAGTGGAGATTCTCCTTGGCTTTATTAGCTGTGTGAATTTAAGATTCTTGGTCATCTTCTACTAAAGATTTTCCTTCACCTTTATTAATTTATGAAGTTAGATCATGATTTCATATTTTAATAAAGATTTATTTTCCTCATTGCTCTCTACCCATCTTGGATTCTATCACTATTTCAGGTCTTCATTTTAGGAAAACCTTGATTGGGACATTCACTAGCTTACCATTGCCTACAGGCAACCTCACTCCAAAGAATGAAAATCCTTAAAAGAACTGGCGTAAGTAGACAAAGTGTTCCCTTTCTCTAGATACAGCCCAGAGTCGTCAGGCAGGACCGGTGTTGGTTCACAAGAATATTAATAAAGATGCAGAGAACAATCAAGTGTTCCTGATAGAAGTATTAGCCCTGAAGTTTAACAGGTGAATAAGAATGCCAAGTGCGATGTAAATACAGATGAAATTTGATCTTCATTTTAAATATGATGATTGACGTTGTCCTTCCTTTTAATATGGAGTGGCATGAATAATTTTATACTATTTTATTTATCTCTTGCCATGTTCAATGCCGAAAAGAAATACAAATAAACAAGGGACGCAACCTCGTAATTTAGTCGAACACTTCCACCTGAATCCTAATCAGTACACTTAATTTAGTTAACCTCTAATGTCTAATCAAAAGCATAAATACAGATACGGATGCTTGGACGGGTATTATGGGTTTCAAGGACATTCTCTCATCTACTCGATCATCGCAAGCTTCTTCATCGTCGTCGTAATTTATATATGCAATTTTATAGATTTGTTTACTTTTATTCACCATTTATAAGGTCTCTGTCGGCAATACAGATCCATATCAACACTCTTGATTAAAGTTGTGAGTTATCAAGAAGCTATCAGACCAACAAATCAGAGCAGAGAAACACTAACTTAAAGAAAAAAGAAAGAGGACCCGAACCAGAGGAACAAGTTCGAATCAGACCCACAAGCTAAAAGCCAGATCACCACGAGCTATCAGACCACAGCAGCACACCAATCAGACCCACAAGCGACGACGGAACTTCAACGGCGGAGAAATGGTGGCGGACGGCAGAGGAGAGAACGTGTTTCGGCTGAGGGCCCGGAAAGGCTATGGCAGCGTCTGCGCCTACGGGAATAACAAGTCGAGCATGAGCGTTGAATGCAGTGGAGTGAAGGAACCGGTAAAAAAGGGTTGGGTTTGCGTGAACATCGCAGTGGTGAGCGCCATGGGGGTCCGTGATAAAATCTGAAACATTTAAATGTCAAATTTAAAGAATTGTTATATATTTTTATTTTTATTTTTATTAAAATAAAAATTATAAAATAATTTTAATAAATTTTTTATTTTTAATATGATATAGATTTAATTTAGAAGGCCTAATTTAATATTAAAATTTTTATCATTATTATATATTAACTATTCAGATGTATTCTATACAGTTTAGATATAATTTGGTGTTAATCTGGATTGTGTAAGATACATCTAGATAGTTAATATATATCATAAAAATTTTAATATTAAATTAGACACTTTAAATCAAATCTAAGCCATGTTAAAAATAAAAAATTTTAAAATTATTTTATAATTTTTATATATTTTTATTTTAATAAATATAATATATAATAATATTTTAAATCTGGATCATTTAGATAATTTTAATAAATATCGTATATGATAATATTTAAAATTTGGATCATCCAAATTTCTGGACGATCCAAATTTCATTACAACACTAACTAATATGCATACACGATTAGGCTTCATATTCAAAATATTAAAAAAATAAATATAATATAAAAAGTTTTAGTTTAATCCTTCAATCTTATAAAATATTATTTCGATCATATAACTCTAACACTATCAATGTCAAATAATTATTTTTTATATCAATTATTGTTATTTTAAAAAAGATAAATGTGTAAATTTAATCATGAACTATTTTTTAAAGAAGAGTATATGATATCTTATATTATAACGTGATACAAAATATATAATCAACTATTTAAAATAGAGTGTCCATCACCTCCCCATTAACTTGACAGACATTTATTCTCCTTATAAGGCCCACTTGAATTTCATTTGACCATTCAATGCACTCCCTCCCCCATTCTTATCACCTTCTTGATGTTGCTTGCCATGCTGCAAACCATTGTGTCTATTTTATCTCCTTCAATGCACATGTATAAAGCTCATTTAACCCAGCAATACATCCCACATCTCTTGCAAGTGCCTTAACAGCACCCCATGCCAAACTAAAGCGAAAGCGGCACCCACACGCTAGTTAAAACTAATGCATTGTTTCACCATGGTTTGTTATGTCTTTTTGTTGCTAATGCATATTAGCAAGATCAGGAATTCATGACTTGGGAAGTCATTCATCAACTGGTGCATGGTGAATTTTGCGAGGCATTTGATTAGGCTATTGACCTCAACAATCCAATCATCCCAATAGATAATGGGGACAGGCCCATAGTTACGGACTAAGTTGAGGGGGATGGAGGTGATTAAACTGTGTTGCATGAGGCTGGTGATGGGTGGCTCCCAATTGATGTAATGTATTTCAGGAACAAGAGCCAATGTAGCATTTAGTTCAATCTAGCTCTTCGCCTCAAAGTTAGCCTTTCATATTATGTCTTTCCACTCTTTGACATTGTTTTCATCTTCGCTGGAGGAATCCAAGTCTTTTGACATAGGTTTGGGAGGGAAGTTTAAATCAGGGTAGATGTTGAAGAAATGAGCAACACCGTTCAAAGGGCTAGCATATTGACAGGTCCTGATGGATGCCGCCATGAAAGAAAGTAAAATTAGCTTTTGTGGAGTGGGAAGTTCGCAATACTTTAGAGAGAGCATTTGTGTGTTAAATCAATTGTCAAATGAAGATAGCACCAAGCCTGCATAAATGTCTGTTAGTTAAAAATAAATAGAAGGTGTCAAATTATGAGTTTATTAGTTGATGATTTATTTTGTATTACTTTATAATATAAGATATTGGTTACTTCTCAAAAAATAATTTATAGTTAAATTTGAGCATTTATCATTTAAAAAAATTAAA